TGGTGGCAGCCGGCATCTCTTCATCCTGTCCTCTCCTCTTTCCCATCTGTACCAGTGATGCAATGCACACCCCACGACCCTCACAGGGTGAAGGAGGAGGAGGATGCATTTTGCCTATCCATTTGACTGGTGCCAGAGGTTTGGTCATTGTTATCCTGATTGTCAGTGACAGCGTTTCTGGGTGAGCTAAATAAGGTTTTTCTGCCTTCTCGTTTTTCTGAATGACAACACCAGCTCCTCCTGGGGTGGGCAGCTTTCCCACCCTACCCATCAGAGATTTCTGGATTTGTCAGTCTCCATAATTCTACAGACCAAGTCCTCATCCGAAGTCTGTCTTACCCTAGGTAATTCTATCTAGTCTGATCCTCGAAAGAACTCTGAAGACTACAGATTTCTAGACTGAAAGTCATTGTAGAGGAACAAATTTTAAGGATGAAAATTCTGAATTGATTTACAGCATATTAACACTTGTATAATACATTCATGTTACATATAGCATAGCAAACACCTTCCTTTTCTTCCCTTGTTCTCTCAGCATGCAACCTCAGGTAGGCGGAGTTTATGTTACTGTATTTAAGAATTGCTAATTTCACACCCAAGTTCTAGGGCATCAAGCATATGAGTCATCATCACGCAGGACTCGACCTTCCCTCCTGCCTAGCCAGTTTGTTTCTAGATGTTGCAGGTTCTGGTGTTGTGTCGGGCAGCATCGTGACCCTGTCGTTTCTCATCCGGAGAGAAGCACGGGTTAGGGAGCTATGCGTGGGTGCGAAGTTAACAAAGAGTGAACAGGTGGGGTCTGACTCATGTCAACTCAGTCACAGGATGCCCAAGTGTGGGGAACCATTCTGGGGATTCTGTAGAGATGGGTAAGGGGACTGGACCAGTGAATTGGATGCCCTCCATGGGATGCAGGCATCATCCAACCCACTGAGGTTGCATGGAGACCCTCCTCTGCTCTGAGATGAAACAACAGTTTCCTACCCCTGGCACTAAGACAGGAACTCACATCACTGGCTTTCCTGGGTTACCACTGCTCTATTAAGTAACAAACAATCAACAGCAAGATTTGTTAAAATAGTACTTTTCTGGTGCTGGCATGATAAACAGATCACACCCACAGCTTCCAGAAATAGACCGCTGTAGGTGGACACTGACTGATATGGAGCTACTGCCCTACAGGCTCTGCATAGCTCCTGGCTTTTCCTTCAGAGTATCATAGCATTTTTCTCATCTTTGTATATTTCACAATTAAAAAACTATTTTCTAGCCGGGCGTGGTGGCACACGCCTGCAATCCCAGCACTCAGGAGGCTGAGGCAGGAGGATCGCCACAAGTTCGAGGCCAGTCCGAATTACAAAGTGAGACCCTGTCTCAAAATATAAAACAAAACTAATTGCTTTTTGTTGCCCATATGTAGAAATTCAATGAACCCTCACATATTGACCTTGTATTCAGCAACCTTGCTGCATTCAAGTATTCATTCCAGTGTGTGTGTGTGTGTGTGTGTGTGTGTGTGTGTGTGTGTGTGGTACTAAAGGCTGAACCCAGGAGCACTGAGCTACCTCATCTTCTGCATATGAAGCCAGTGACCCCGGACACGTTTCCAGACCCTATCTCCCAGCTCATCGGGACAGCAGTTGCTGTTTACAGCCATTTTCCACTCGAGTGTCTCAGCCTCTCAAACTGCAACTGCTCAAAGTAGAATTCTGCATTCCCTTTTCCTCAAATAAAGCACACCTGAGGATTCGTTTCCACACTAGGTGCCACCTCTGTTGATATAAAATCATCTGCCCAGCCGTCCGGTAAATCTCAGGAGTTACTCATGCTCACTTCATGAACTCTCGCCTTCCATAATCAACCTTTGTGCAAACCCTATGGATTCTCCCAACACTAATCCATCCCCCAGCCACCGCGCTCCTCCGGTCACCACTGTCAGCGGCCCGAGTCATCTCTCTACTGTCTGCTTCCTCATCTGCAATGTATCTTCCACCAGGCAGCAAGAGAGATCATTTAAAACTTTAACTGGAGTCTTGTCGCTTCGCTGCTGAATAGCGTCAAATGCATTTCAAGTAAAATTCACATCTCCTCTGTGGCGCCGAATCCCCCAGGTCTGACCCTGCTTCCCTCTGCCCAGCCCCAGGCTCTGGCCCACCAGCCACCCTGCTGGTCCCGGATCTGGTGCAGCCAGTGGGCCTTGGCACCCGCTGCACCCTCTATGCACGTGGCTCCCCGAGGAAGGACAGCCCCTGCCAACAGCCTTACCTTCTCCCCGTACTTCCTTCAGTGCCCGATGCCCCTACTCATGGGACGCTCCTGACAGCCTCATCGGGACACGAGCTTCATGAGGGCAGGGACCGCATCTGCCTGACTCATTGACCGCTCTGTCCCTGTGCCTGGCGCCGCCTGAGGAGAAGCTTAGCCTGGAGTGGCTGAGCTAACTGTTCAAAGGTACACGGCTGGCAAGTGAGCTGAAATTTCAACTTTGCTTGTTCTAGTTGCAAAGCCTATATTCTTCCCCAGGGCATCCCTTGCTCTCCGTCCAAGGCAAAGCACTCCAGGCATTGCTGCTGCATTTGTTTCCCTTGCTTCCAGGAAAATAAGGCACAAGCCTTCCTCACTCATTCCCTTGCAATTAACTGCACAGTTTAGTCATCAGCATTTGTTGCTGTATGACCTTGGGCACTGACATCCCTCGGATGGGACCAATATTAGAACCAAGCACTTTATGGCTAATAATCTTTTTTTACTCTCATGTGTTCCTGTGAGCTCCACCCTCAGTGATGAGGTCAGGGTCACAGGGAGCTGGAGGATCTCTAAAGAGCTGCTGAAAGGTGTATGGACCTATGCTCTAACTCTCACGGAAGCTCTCGTTTAATGGGTGTGAAAATAAACATAGCACAACTTTGTGAGTAAACTATGAATGTATATTATGTTCTTTAAACAACAAAATAATTTTTAGTTTAACGTTTCTAATTGAAGGTTTTACTTGCCTTTGCCATGACAGAAGCATCTCTGGTTGTGATGAGAAAGTCTCACAAAGAAGCCAATACCCATTACGTTCATAGTAAGAGCTCGGCTTGAGAATTCATATGTATTGTATATTATAGTTCATTAAATTCTTATTGTGCGGTATTTGATCTAAAAATAAACAAGTATACAAAAATGTGTACAGAAGAGGAAAACAGATCCTGTGCCACAGGGGGGAAAATGAATATTGGAAACAACGCTTTGAATTGTTTTCCCATATATGTGAACATGTTGCTGAAATTATCAGAACCTTGGACAGCACTTCGAGGGCTTTTCCTGATCAGAGGAATGGTTTTCTTTTAGGTCTGAGTCTTAAGGTCTTCCTCAATCACTCTGCACTTAAAAATTCTGTTTTAAGTCAACTGCTTCTCATATAAAAATTGAATAGGGCTGGGGATTTAGCTCAGCAGTTCGGTGGCCTGCCTTGCAAGCGCAAGGACCTGAGTTCGATCCCCGGTACCACAAAAAATAAATAAATAAATAAAAATTGAGTATGTGCAGAACTTGCTGATGATGGCAAGTACTCTTTTTTTTTTTTTTAATTCCTCCTGAAGCAGTTTGAAACAAAAGATTTCACTCAATGACAGAAATTAAAGATGGTTAAGAAGTCATTCGAATAAGATTAAATACAGGGGGCGCTATCAGAGTAGCAGATGAGTGGCTTAAAAAAGGAATGGCGGTAGACACATGCACGTACAACCTTAATTTTTTTTTCTTTTTTTTTTGGGCGGGTACCGGGGATTGAGCTCTGGACCTTGGGCTTGCAAGGCAGGCAGTGGAACCACTGAGCTCAGTCCCTGGCAACCTTAATTTTTGATTTAAAGTTTGCTAACTGGTAGCTCACCCAGCACCTCAATGACTTCTCCATATCCCATTTTGCAAACAAACTTATCTTAGTAGTTCCCCAAACCCCACGGACAGATAGTAAAGTACTGACCAAAAATGTGCCCCTGGATATTAGCTTCTAAATAACCGCCGCTTATCATATGTATTACTGTGGACCTAACAGTACAGTAATAAAATGATGAAAATAAATACTCCTGAAGCCTTCTCCATAGTTACAGCATTATACAATAACCATTCTGCAAATGCTTGCTACCAAGCTGAGGGCCTTTCTTCTCCACCTTTTAAAGCAAAGCAGGCCAAAAGCTTTGTTGGTTTGCTCTCGATGACAATACGGTCACAAAACTCACTGTGACCGTTCTGTCTCTTTACAATTTTACAAGGCTGGCCTGCTTTCTTCCCTTCTGAATGCCCGATTGAGGCGGTGACTTAACCCTCTGCAGCGTGTACAGCACGGTTCCCAGGAGCTCTGGGCCGCCGCGGGAGCACAGGCGAGCTGTTGTGCTCAAGAATCCGTCTCCCTAGGGAATCAAAAGCAGCCACAATGCAGTCACCAGCATGTTTTCACCATGCAAGCCCCGCGTTTCCTATTAGAGAACACGCAGCCACACCCCACTCTGCGTTCTCACAAGGCTCCCTTTTATCGGTGTGTGTTTGTTATTATACGGCTCACAGCGACGTGTTTGTGTGATTCTGCTGGTGTGCACACATCCATTGAGCGAGGAGAAAAGAATGTCTATTGCAAACTTGTTAAGAGGAAAAAGGGACTCCCACAGCTCTGCCTTTGGCTAGGCTTCTATGGAAAGGAGGATTTTAACTCCTCATGCACCAGAACACCACGATCTCTTGGCGTATCTTACATTTTATATGGGTTCTTGCAGAGAAAATGTCACAAACAAGAGGGGCAAATGGTATTTCACAGAGTGCTACAACCCTAGAAGCTGCCAGTTCCTCACAGTTACAAGGAGCTCACTGGACAGTGTACGGGAAAGCTGTTATTTCCCTCTCAACAGGGTTAGGCTGTTTTACAAAGTGAGTTTAACATGCCTACAAAGAAACTCGGAAGCATTTCATTTTAGAAGCATTTATTTTAGCTTGTAAAACTTTTGGTCGGGTCTCCACTGCTCTTGTTTTGGAAATTTCAACACGGGAGTTACAAATCTCTGAATCGACTGGTCTCATGCTAGGCGATCATGGCACTAGAAACTCTCACTGGAGTTTTGCAATTTTATTGGCCATCCGAGCTGTTACAAAGAGTTAGTGCCCCTCTAATCTAGTTCCACTTCTGATGGGAGGCGAAACAGAGACAGACAGATAGGAAGCTAGACATTGAGCGGTAGTAGAAATATGTTTCCCTCTGTAAGAAGGGCATGAAGGTCAGTACGGTGCAGGCATTCCCCTTTAGCCAGACTGGGTGGAGTTCTCATTCCGGGATGACTTGGGATGGGAAGAGTTAAGTGGCCACAAGTCCTCACCCCTCTCACTCCCGGACATTCCAGAGGACAGGGCTCATTGACAGCACAGCACCTAACATGAAGAGGGTGGGTTCTCGAACTAATTAACTGGAAATGAGTCTTGTCAATGTTTTGGAAAGGCAGAAGGGGTGAAAAGAGCCTGCTAGAATTAATCACAGTGAGAAACTACTTCAACTGGCTGCCAGCATTCAGAAAACCTAACACGCAGAGGCGAGGTGAAGGAGTGAGGCTGACTTCCATCTGAAATGACGCACAGAATGCAAGCAGACGGCCCAGTCTCTGACAAACGAGGGCTGTGCCCGCCCAGAGGAGATTTATTATCTGCCACGTTAAGTATGGCCTACGACTCAAATGCACACTGTATCCAGGGGACAAAGGCACACCAGACAGTTACACTGAATGCACAGAAAGAAAGCACAGCTCGGCACTTCCACTTACAGCTCACACACACTGAGCTCTATTACCTAAAGGGTGCAGAGGTTCCTGGATGTGGACTTGGACATCTTCAAACACTTGCAATCTCACATACTGCGAGGATGAAAATTCCGTGAAACAGATTCTGAGATAAAGTTTGGATGGAGAGTTCAGTCACTAAAAAGAAAAAGAAAGAAACACAATAAAAAATGTATGTGTATGTATATGTGTGTGTCTGTGTGTGTATATATGAGAATCATCAGATAAAAGGTAAACATGCAGAACTCTGAACAATGATCACACAGAACTAGCCGAAACCTGAAACAGCACATCCAATGTCATACAAGGGGTTTTATGTTCCTTTAATGGCAATTAGCTATCTTTGAAAGAAAACCTAATTTCTGTCAGAAATGTACTTTTAGACCGTGCTGTAATTTTTTTCTGTGGCAGTACTGGGAATTGAACCCATGGCCTTGCACATGTTAGGCAAACACTCTTCCACTGAGCCACATTCTCAGCTCTTTTTATTTTCTATCGTGAGACAAGGTCCCATCAAGTTCCCTAAGCTAGCCTCAAACTTTGGATCCTCCTACTTCAGCCTGCTCAGCAGCGGGGCTTACAGGTGCGCACCACTTATCCCCAGCTTAGACAGTGGTTACACTTTGACGGGCTTTTTCTATTTCTCCCCCAGAAAGAGCTTGACATTTTAACTCTCTGAAGAAAGTGGCAATATAAGCCTGAACAAAATGCCATTCACAACCCTCTTCAGGGTTCTCTTGGGTGACATTTTCCTGTGCTGTCACAAGACAGGACACAGGATGTGGGAACAGCCCTGTGACCGAACACAGGACAGCACACACGAGGACACCTACCGAAGTGGGGGGGTCACGAGTGGACTTCAGGATCAGCTTCTCACCCCTCTTTTCAACTTCAAACCCCATCTTCTTTAGCAGGGAGGCATCTGCCAAGCCTTGGTCCTCCAGCTTGGCGATCAGATCCTGGTTTTGGCTGTTGTCCTCGGTAAGGTTGCGGATGGCGTACACCGCCCACTGGGTCAGGACTGGACCCGAGTGAAGGAATCTCAACTGCACACGGGTATGACCAGGATAGATGGGGGCCGGGAGGCACAGAGACACTGACGATCCACAACTACTGGCAAAGTTTCCCAGAGCGTATGCTGCAAACATGTGTCCAAAGTGGACAAAATGAAAAAGATGACACGTGTGTCCAGCAAGGATGGTGCCTGGCGGGTGACAGCTGAAGCAGCTCCTTCAGGGTCCCGTGAGTGAATGAATGAGTGAATGAGGACGTACAGGACGAGAGCAGTGAGCACCGGGTTTATGGACGCAGGACCACAAGGGTCCGTGTGCATAGTGCATGCTCTTGCTCTCATCGGCAGTTACGCTGAGTCACCAGGGAAAGGGGTCCTCAGACCTGATCCCAAAGACGCTGAGTCACAGACAGGAAACTGTTCTGTTTCAAGGAAGAAAGGTTTCCCAGGAGTCATCGTGGCATCTCCCTTATTCAGTGTCTGAGAGATGAAGCTAGAAGGCCTTTGAAGGCTTTTAATACTCAGGCTTTGGAAAGAGTGTGACACTTGCTGCCTACCTGTGCCCGGCCCTCACCTGAAACGTCCTGCTCATTGTCCTGCATCTCTGACCGCAGAAGGCCAGGAAGACTAGGACAGTGTTGCTGCATTATTTACTGAGGAATCGGGATTAGGTGCTAGGAGCCGTGGGGCCCTTGGGAAATCATCAAGAGCTACCGCCTACTCTTCCAACAAAGGATCTCATGAAAATGGTTAGAAGGACCCATGTTAACAGCGGGAACCAGGGCACCTAAGAGACCACTGAGGATGAGCCTGGGGGCCTGTGCTCCGGTCTGGAGGGAACGACAGGGCTGAGGGTGAGATACCTGTAAACAGTTCTTCCAGAAAAAGCAGTCTCCCTGCCTGTGGCCAGAGGCATCAAGAAAAGAAAGTCCTGGGCCAGGGATTTAGCTCAGTGGTTCTGAAAAGAAGACAGGAGGGGAGGGGAGGGGAGGAGAGGAAAAGAAAAGTCCTTTCCCCAGTTGACGACAGGAGGTACCCACTTGGACACTGCCACAGCCAAAGGTATCAGATCTATTGCTAAAGACCTTCTGATCTTCCTGGAGCGCCAGCCCCATGGCAAGGACTGGTTCTGAGACACTCACTTCTCTAGCCTACGACAAGCCAGTCATAAAGCTGCTGGATCTTTCTTACAGTATTTGGAAGAGATAATGAATTAAATTGGTTTATAAAATCTGGGTCAGAAAGCTCACAGAAAGCAGTAGAAATGAAATTTCCACTAAAGTCAGACAGTTGAAACATCAAAAGTGGGGGCAGCAGTATAGCCAGGGGGGTTTGGAGGGTTTTGAAAAGACTTCTCCATTCTAGCCCCTGAAATGCACCCCAAGCTGGTCCGCAATGCCGCTCTCCTGGATGTCTGTGGAGATGCCCTGTGGCCCTGATCATGGCCCAGCCCCACCTGCCTGTCCGAGCTCCTCCAACCAGGGGGGCACAACATGGGCTCATGTGTCTATGGGGCCTTGGGGCCTGGACACAGGGCCTGTGCCAGAAGAGGCCCAACCAGTGACCACTGAGTGAATGACCCGCCTGGTCTTTGAAGGTTTATCACTGAAACCACTCGTGTGTATAAATGACTGGCCTTGCCCAGATGGCCAAGGAAAGGGACTGTCTGCCCAACGGATGCTGACTCCACACTGAGTCACCGATGGTGGGGACGGACTTTCTCATCTGGCCATTTGTCTGTCACCCTTCGTGACAAAGCCCAGGTCCTTTCTAACTCTGTGTTTCCTTTGCAGAGGCACAATCCATACAAATGTTCAGATGTGCAAAGGCTCAGAGTGAATATTCCCCTTCTTTCCAGTTACCAAACCTCTACTTTGTGTCAGTACAGACAACAAAAGTGATGCTCCTAGGCATCAGGTGCTCCCAACACATGGGCTGGATTCACAACCGGGAGTAACAATTTGCCACAACTGTTTTCACATAGGATGACACTATCACCAACTTCATTTTCTTGCTTTTTGCAGAAAAAGGGGGGGCAGTGACTATGAGAAGTGACCGAGAGATCTCACTACAGTGTGAGTTCCCCCACACCAAGCCTGACACATCTCTTGCCAGGGGCTCATCGCTGCTCACACCGATGGGCTGCCTGCCACACCAAGTGCCTGGCAGACAGCACCCACTGCCTCCTTTCTCCCAGCTGAGGTTCGCTGTGCCTGCTGCCAGTTTCCAAAACGTTAGCCCATTGCACTTTACCTGTTTGCCTGTATGTGTGAGAGCCCCAAGGGCAGGAGCTGTACTGAGTGTGTTTTCATATCCCCAGTCCCCACCCAGTCCACTTCCCAGTACCCAATGCCAAGTTCAGTATGAACTGTTGAAATCACGTTAAGTGGTGACTGCTTGTTTGTGTTTGCCTGCCCTGATGACTGAACTTCTCATAACACAGCTGGTGTCTTATTCATCTGTCTGTCCTGTAGCCTAGTGTGGTGCTGGACACAGGCAAGTGTGCCCTGCGGGTAGAGGCACAGTGGCACCGCAAGGACCCACACAAGCTGCATTTGCTGTTTTCTATGGTTTCCTGATTCAAGGCTTCGCAGAGTTGAGAGAATAAGGGAAAGTAAATCAACATGAGCACAACCCAGGCCAGGAAACCGGACCAGAGCATCAGAAATCAAACAGGAGAATTATCACATGAACGGGGTGAAAGGGTGATTTTAATCTTGCACATCTCAAGCAGAGGCACGGGGAATTTTTCTATTGTGTTTTGTGAAAATACCATCAATGTGGTATTTTATTATCGATTCATCCTCAAAATGTTCGGTGGCTGATTTCTGCAGAAAAGACTGGCATGACGCCTGTTATCTCTGATGGGGGAAAGGAGCCCAGAGAAACAAGACTGAGGAAACAGCCACCTGGAGGTGAGGGGCTCCTCGCAGCTGGATCTTCTGGCAAATGTCTCAGGACCAGTGATTTCACAGACGCAACACTGAAGCCTGAGAAGAGGCCTTCTTACCTACTTCCAAAGTCGGCAATTCAAGTACAGAGAGAGGGGAGATGCAGGAAGAGGAGAGGCTGGGAGCCCGCTCCTCAGCACCTTGAAAAGCAGAAGTGAACGGCAGCAAAGAGCAGCCCTTGTCACTGAAGTGGACATTTAACACTTGTGCCTGTCATCAGCGGTCCCGAGGAGGACTCTGAGCAGCCAGTCTGGGAGCTGCCACAGGAAGTACCCTGCTCGCCCAGCCCAGGTAAACCCTGATGGCACGGGTCATCCACCCAAGATGTACCAGGGCTGCTCAGGGGGCCTGCTTACCCCAACATCCAGTGAGAAATTTGGGCACCACTGTCCAGGGTTTCCGATTCAATAGTAAGTACAAAATCAAACTTTTATGGTTATTCCTTTCAAAACAAACTTTTTAAAAATCAAGGTTATTATTTTTGTCGGGTGTTAAGCTCTAGCTCTTACTCTGGAACTTAACTTTTAAAACTAATACAGAAAGACATAAAAATTGCCCACATCTATAGGGTTCTGTAAGGCTCTCCTATCCATGTACACTGTCTGATGTTTAGATCCAGGCAAACATACCCACCTCCCCACACACTTGCCCTTTATTTAGAATTCAGAGCTCTTCCCTTGGCTCTCTGAAACACGCCGTGTCACCGCTATCTACGGTCACCGTCCCATGGGACAGCAGACCACAATGTCTCACTCCCGCCTAAGTACAACTTAGAAAAAAGTGCCCTTTCATAAACTCGAGTAGGAAGCAGGAACGCTGTGAGATACAGCCCAAGAATGTGTCTGATCCCAGCGCAGGTCATGAATATGCACAGCTCCTTGTTAGTGCGCTGTGAACGGGGGTGTGTGGGGGGGTGTTAGACTGGGCAGTGGGTGCAGACCTAGACCATCCGCAGTGTCACGAGGCAGATCAAAGCAAGTTCCAGTTAATATTCACATCGCTCCCTTGTTCCCTCTCTCAAGAGACAGTGAGCAGAAAGAGTGGGGGAGAAAATTAAACATCTTCCCAAGTCTCTAACCCTACTAACACTTGAAGTGCTTTATTGTACACAGATTTGGACAGAGGGCTCTGAGTGTTTCCATAGCTACTACAAGTAGAAGGCATAAGCCTATTTGTTGCAAAACTGCCCTGAAAGAACCTGCAATCAGTGCTGAGGGCTCCACGGGACTGGCCAGCTCCTCAGCAGACCCGCCGGTGTCATGACTGGGATCCCGGGGACCACAGGGCAGAAAGGGAGGAGCTGAGACACCCGTGCCCAAGCAGTGTATGTGAACCCACAAGGCGGGCGCAGGCGTCAGCACTGAGCCGCGGCCTTGGACCAGACAAGTGACCAGTGGTAGAACTGGGAAAATACAACCAACACAGAGCCGGCCAGCGGCTCTATGTGACAGATACAATACTGAAGAGCAGTCAGGCGAGTTAAGGGCAAAGCTGGAACTGTCTGATGAGAAAGACTTCGTCTAACACTGGACAACACCTTTCCACACAGCCTCAGGTTCTGGTGATGACCAGAGCGAGGCCCATGGCTGCCCAGGAGGTGAAAGGGGCCACACGTGCAAGTTGCACACACCAAAAATACTTTCAAATACAGCAATACCTGGATTCATGAACACTTCTGTTCGTTAACAATTCAGTTTGTGAACAGAAGCATTTGGCAAAAAGTTGCTTCCACTGGAGAACTCTGCATTGCGTAAGGAACACAAATATGGCCATCTACCCCAGAATCAAGGGAAAAATTATGTTTGTGAATGGAGGCACTGCTGTATTTCTTTCAGTTCTCACACATTTCAATGATGGGGGGTTCAAAGGAACAATACTAATTTGTGATAAATGAAAAGAAATCAATTCAAATTTCAATGTCTATAAATTTGTGTCACCTGCATGCCATCCGTGGCTGCTCTCAAGCAATGACAGCAGAGTTTGTGGCCGAGAAGAGACTGTGGCTGCAGAGCCAGAGAACATACTATGTGGTCCCTGTAGGAAGCCTGCCTACCCTGG